GTATGGTGGAGGGCTTATCATGGTTTGCTGACAATAACAACCAACTGTAGAACAGCAGAGCCATACGCCACAGCAGTCTGAGGACAGCAGCGCCAGGCCAGCAGGCTCAGACCGGAGTTGGGGTAGAGCTTATAGCATTATAAAGGGTAGGTTTAGTGCTGGGGTGGGGTTGGGCATTTTTTAAGGTAGAGATTATTGTTGTTATGAGGGGCAGGGTTAGTGGTTGGGGCGGGATACGTGATTGTCAGCACCACACTGAGGCTGCCGGGCTGGCACTGCTGTCCCCAGACTGCTGTGATGTGTGGTTCTGCAGTTCTGGAAAAATAAATTCCTAAGATTTTTACCAGTTCACCAACTAAAGGTTTAATTCATCACCAGTGTTGTGCAAAGTATCCAATTATCATATTTAGGAAAAAAGTAAGGATACCCTAATGGATATTGACTCAAGTAAAAGCATTAAAGTCACTGATATTAACATTTAAAGGTGCAGTGTGTGATTTTTAGCGACATCTAGCGGTTCGGTTGCGAGTTTGCACTAAGGGCTCAGCCCACTGCTCACCCCTCCCTTTCGAAGAAGCTACGGTGGCTAAAACGGGACAAACATATCGTCGTCTGAGACAGCAGAGAATAGCCAGAGTAAGCCAAGAGTGTGTAACATTGTCACTGTTTCTGTACCACAGTCCAAAACCACATCATGTCCGCATGAGGCCAAAGGTGCGCGCGGCAAAAATGACATGATTGTAACAGCGCGCGCGCCTCCGCATGCCCTAGACACCATTTACTGCACACAATAGGCTTTTTTTTCCTCTGATTTCGAAAACTCTCCGCAATTGACTTAAAATGCTTCCAAGATCGACTTGTCGACCGCGATCGACGGGTTAGTGATCCCTGTAGGCTGTAACATACTGTTTTACGGTCAATGACAGGAGTACTAATCAGCTGTCTCACGAACGTAACCAGCACATTTATCCCCACATAGCAAAGGCATAACACAGCGAGGGAGAAGAACTAAGTTATATGAAACAATCCAACTACACATTTTACACCACTGACAAGGGAAAAGTCACTACTCACGGTGTTTATGGCTAGCTTCTAGGTTTCTGCGGCTTCTCTTTCAAGGTAGTGACGAAACGCGCTCTGTTTGTTCGCTGTCGGCTACGGTAGAAACATGACGTCACAATATGTCGACCTTCATAGAAGATGAGACCCAGCACAATGGGAACGTCCAGAAAAAGTGCAAAAGAAAAATGCCACTTGTTCTGTTCACTTGGGCACAGAAGACAGACAAGGACCTTCATTTATTAAGTAAGTTCTTTATACACCACTGAACACATAGTTATGGATGTCATATTGCATTTCTGTTAGATACTCAAATTTTTTACACATTGCACCTTTAAGGAATAAAGTATCAAAAGTACGGGTAGATTTTATAAATAATGTCAGCTGATTTGATCAATTTCAGGTTCGATGGTGCAGAACATAAATTAATCTTGGGGTTAATTTATGTTCATTAGTTTTGTTCATGTTTAAATCATGTTTGTTCTTACAGTTTTACATTCTCTAAACTGTTAAGTGCAATTGTCACATCTGTTTGCTGGAACATCAGAACTACTGCATGTCTGCAAAATGTAGTAACTCACCCAAAACATTTAATTTTCATGCTTCAAAACCCAGTTATTGTATCATTAAATTGGTCAATGCCACCAAAATAAAAAGTGTTTTTGTCTTCATGTGAGCCAATGTTTCAATGTTTAATTTTTTTTTTTTTTACTATGGAAACATTAGTTATATACAAATTTCATGTTTTTGAAATTTCAGGTCCAGGGATTTGAGGAAGAGGAAGGTGACCCCAGTGAAATGGGAGACTCCAAGGCCATACAAGGCCATTCGGATGATGCCTCTGAGATCGATGAGCTCATGATAAAGCTTTGTAGCCTCTCCTGACGGTCCCAAGAATGAGACCCAGCACAATGGGAACGTCCAGAAAAAGTGCAAAAGAAAAATGCCACTTGTTCTGTTCACTTGGGCACAGAAGACAGACAAGAAAAAGGAGGAGAAGAAAATAATCAAGGAAAAGGAGCAAAGAGAAAAAGAGTTACATGAACGATCTGAAACTGATGCACTTGTGGATCAACAAGCACAACCGCAACTACAACTCCTAATGCAGATCATCATCCCTCTTCACCTAACCTGTGTAAATAAAAAAATGTACAAACTAAAAGTTGAAAGATCCATGACTCTTCCTGACTATTAAAACAACATAAAACACGTGCAATGTAAAGTGAATCAAGTTGAACTAATTTGAATAAATGTTTACCTAGAAAAACAGCAGAAAGTGAATCACTCAATGCAGTGCATAACAGTGAAGTACACAGATCAATGTATTTTCTCTGATGTGGATCCTTCCAACCCATCACCTCAATGCTCATCATGTAATGTCTCATTCAGAGTCAAAGACTGCACACTGTGATCATATAAATCCATAATGTGAAAGTAAATACATTTTATTTGTCTATAAAGTTGTGTTAATGAGGACTAGTAAAAAAACTAAAAAACAACAACCTTTTTTTACATGAAAAAAGAAGGTGGCAGCCTTAATGAGTGAGTTGAATCCTTCATTAATTTAATTAACTAAGCAATTACTGTACTAATGAATAGCCTAACGGCACGTTTTGGTGATTTTAAAAAGAAATAAAGAGAAATCGTTCGTATATTTTGTTCATGGGTAAAAAAGATTATACTTTAATATTTGTTTTGATTAGTGGGACCCCAACTGAATCATTTACTCATGCGATTCGTTCAAATAGATTCTTTGAATCACTGTTTTGCTCGGAGACGCAACGGTTCTGCTGTTTGTTCTTATTTCTTTGACTTTGACGTAGCAAAAACAAACAGAATTTGTCTATGAAAGTTTAGTAATTTGTTGTTTATTTAATTGTTTTATTAAATCAATGCCACATTTTTAGGGAAGAATGGCACTCTTGGTTGTGTAATAGGCTAACTCATGTTATAATAAATATAGCCTAAAAAACAGGAACTCGTTAAATTGATTTTTGATTTTGATGACATTTCTTCCCCGCTAATGGTGTGATGGCAGTGCCAGGAGAGATCGCTAAACACTCTTCAGATCGCATAACTTTGTCTGTAAAGAAATGAGGCACATGAGACCCAAAAGAGAACTGTACCTTCTACGTCTGTTTACTCCTCTTAGTTCCATCCTGCTGTCCATTTCCTTTCTGTTCATGTCATATTACAAATTCTCCTCTTATTCTTTCCACTATGCCCTCCCATATATCTCTTCTCCCACTCATTTTCCCCATTCTACTCTTCCTATTGCCTCCCCTTTACTTAAACTATATTTTCCTCTCTCCCCATCTGTTCTACATGTTCCACTCTTCCTATACAGACTATACAGTGTGAAGAGTGTGGGGTTATGGTTAGGGTTGGTTACGATCTAGGGCGCCCTCTGCTGCCCACCAACCAACCATAAAGGCGGTGCCCTATCCAGCTTCACAAAGTCACCTGGAGGCCCCTAATGCTAAGCCTCCCAGTAGCCTACTAATCTAAACTGAAGTAAATGGTCCCACTTTTTACCCCAGGGTGTGCACGTAAAGCCAGGTACTACACCGGACCTCTGCAATTCTCTCTCGTGCTCTGCGCGCAAGTGTTGTAAAAGGAAGCGTTACCAATGTTCCTTTCACATGTGGAAATAAAATCTCAAGTCGGTAATATGCCAACATCTATATGATATAAAAGATTAAATATTAAATAATCACTTCATTAAATGCATCAATCACCATCGCTGTATTATATCTGTAAATTGAACTCTAAATAAGTTTAACACAGAATGTCAAGGCTTTGTTTTGTCCACAGAATTATAGGGCAAGGTTTACTAAATTCATATTTGAGAAACAAAGGCATCTACATGTGATATTATTGTTTCATTTAATTTTATTTACTTAGAATGTTAATATTACGAAGCAAAAATGTCAAATTTGCTTGGACTTGGGCTAATTTATGTGTTTTAATAAAGCACACTTAAGTTTATTGAAGAAAATAATTGGCACTGAAAGAGAAAAACAATGTTGTTGAAGAAATTGTATTATTTATTATTTTATTATAAGCATTGTCCATTTATTGTTTATTTAATACATTGTGTGTTTAGAGATTAGCATTATTTGAAAGGACACTAAAATAATTCTGACATGTAATGACATGGCTGTGCAGTGCTGGGTGTAATCTAGGACCACTCAACCACTGCACTAGATGTATATAGAAAGTAAACTGGAAAATAAATTTACAATCAATTAGTTTAGATTTTGATACAGTGCACTTGGACAACTTTCATTGCCATCTAACTACGCGCAACCACTGCACGTTAGTATCGTTCTGTTTGAACAGAAAAAAATCTTTCGTGTACATAAGTTGGTGAATAATTTCAATGCTTATTAAGAGACAGCTTATTTCAATAATTTACAAAAAGTATCAAATCAAAATGGCCAGAAATGGCCCTGCTATTTGTGACATATATCTGTTGTGATAATGGTTGTTTAGCATGTTTAGATCTTGTCTGCCAAAAAGGGAAGATTTTAAACGTGAAGTTTATTGACTAGTTATATCTTCGTATGGTAATGCATTATTACATATTTCTCAGTATTGCTCTAAAATAAAAAGTAGAAACATTAATATTTAACATGCTTGGTGGTAAAGACATACACAATGTCACATTTCAGTCCTGCAGTCGTCCATGACCTTTCAGTCAAACAACATTTTGCTGGCCTCCACAAAAAACCCCCAGCATTTTAAAGTGATTTTTTTTTTACTTATTTGCTCCAAAACAAAACTGTCTTAGAGAAACTCCATAGTCCGTAGTCATAAATCAGCTCATATCACCCAATAAACCCCAGGTTCAGTAGATGTCGGGTCACATGAGCATTCTGTTTGGCTCATCTACCTCCTCTCTGACCCTGCAGTAAAACCTTTCAGCTCGTTCTTGTTCTTTAGTAGAGGAAGTCTTCTCCAGTGGCTGAGGGTTCTTCGGGTTTCTTAGTCTGTATTTTAGGCAGATGTATTTTACTGGAGGCTACTACAAGAATGTTAGCTCCATGTGTTACAGCGCTGGCAACGCACAACCAGAAGGAGAAGCCAAGATTCTCCTCAAGGATCACAAGGGTAAAAAGGCTCTCACGGTAGTTAGCCACATGTTTCGTGAGCTGATGGCACTGAATTGCTGCAAGGAAACACGCAAAGCCCATTGCACTAAACAGAGCTGAGAGAAGAGATTCAAAAAGATTTTACAAGTGTATGATTAGAAACTGAAAAAAGCAGTGATTCACAATTTGTTATGGTTGATATTGTTGATTTAATAGGGTTTATTATCCATGAGGTGTAAAACATTGTATCTTAGATTTTGTATTATGTTGACTTACCTGCAATGAAATTCCAGAGGTAGATGCCAAAAGGTCCTTTGATAGATTGATAAGGAACTTTTCTGGCATTATATATACAGAAAGCTAAACTGAGCACTGCAAAGCCAATAGCAGTGAAAAGGAAGAAGATAATGATCATGTGAAGACCACTGTTGATTTTTTTGATGAGTTTTGGGAAAACTGCAGAATTTGTGAGAAAGAGAGAGAGAGATCAGGATTCACAAAATTGGACTTATACTTAAAAAAGCATCTGTACAGATACTGCGTAACAGTATAGGCTCTATCTATTTATCTATCTATCTATCTATCTATCTATCTATCTATCTATCTATCTATCTATCTATCTATCTATCTATCTATCTATCTATCTATCTATCTATCTATCTATCTATCTATCTATCTATCTATCTATCTATCTATCATTCAAATATTGCATTTATTCAATCAAAAGTAAAAGTGTATGTGTAATGTAAAATTACAGTAAAATCTGTAATATTGTGAAATAGTATAATAAAAAATTTAAATTATTTTATTGTAATATATTTTAAAGTGTAATTTCTTTTGATGGCAAAGCTGATTTTTTTTAGCAGCCATACTTCGGTCTTCAGTCTCACATGATGCTTCAGAAATCATTCTAATATGCTGATTCCCTATTATTATCAATGTTGAAAACAGTTGTGGCTTAATATTTTATGGAAACTGTGAAAATTTTTTATAAAAAAGTTTTTTCCCCCCATTATATTATATTTATATTTTTACACATACACAAGTTTCCAAGATTCTTAGAGTTCAAAAGAAAAGCATTTATTTTAAATAGAAATAGTTTGTAACATAAATGTCTTTTTCTATTTTTTTTATCAATTTAAAAATGTAATACTTAAATAATTTGTAACAAAAGTAGGCTTATTAATAATAAAAAAGACAATAATATCAACAAAACAACAACTAGAGATAAAAACTAAATTCAAAGACCTGTTCTAAGCTATACATTAAATAAATGTGATTCATTATAATATATGTGTACAGAGCTCGAATGTTTAATCAGAAGGGAATCTATCTAATCAATCAACACGTTAGTGCTCTTACTGTATATTTTAGAGCGGCGGATTCCGAGCCCGCATCTCCGTGTTTTCCCGCCCTGAAAGAGGCCATAGTAAATGTGTCCCGTGAACTGCTCGAGCTCTAGACTAGACGCGTTCACCAGATCTACTCCTGTCTGACACAATGTGGTTCCGGTGACCCAGCGCTCGGTGGACAGTGCCACGACCAGAAGTACCACAGAACCGATGCTGAGTATAGAAGCGAAGGAGAACACTATCTGTTTCCAGAGAGTTGGCATTTCACTAACCCCATTCCTCCTATAAAAAGCAAGACGTAACACGACTCCGCGAGGGGTCCACCTCTCCTCGCTACTGCGCGAGCCAACTCTGCTGTAACGTACGGAGTGCGCTACCGTGCGCAAATAGCCTACCGATTGGCAACATGTTTACGGTAAGTTTGCAACACTAAAAACTAAAACACAATGGAACTAAACTGAAGTAACGCGAGATAGACTGCGATAGGGAAAGAGCAGGAAACCAGATATAAAGCGGTCAGATGGATCTCATTTACCACCTAACGAAACCTTATACAGTTTACTTGCCTTCGCTTGGTTTGGTTGCCAGAGCGCGCGCGTGTGCCCGTACACACACAGAGTGTGGGAATTATTACGGGTTATAATTTTTTGCGGCGAAATTTCGTGAAGTTCATCTAGCGCAAACGAACTGTCAAGTCTTGTAGCCACACACGTAAATCAATCAACCAGCTGTAACAAGGATTTTTATTGGATGTCCTTTGCTATAACAATTAATCAAATAGCGATGGCTCGGCTCCTTTACATTCAAATCTATAGGTCATACATTAAATCATTAAATGTCAGTTCAGCCAAGACTCTATTGGGTCACTGAGCACTGAAATAAAGAAAAGAAAGGGGAGGGTTTGATAGGAAGGTCACTGGAATTGTACAGCAATGGACTAATGACTTGAAATACGAACCTGAAATAGGAACATGATATTTGTTTCATTTGGTGCAGAATTCGGGATCCCATAAAAGAACCAAGCCTTTACTTTGTCAGTTGGAACAGTCTTAAACAGACTTCAGCACCACGGACAGCAGTCTTGCCAGTCCTCTTTGGTTCAGGACCATGGACAGCTCAGCTCGTTCAAGAGCTCTGTGCTGCCCTGTAAACAGTGTGGATCTCCGCCACTAGAGGGGGATACCTTACCGTTTCATTGAGGTGAGCTCTGTGCCATTTAATTAAAGGGTTCCTGTTATGCTTTTCCACTTTAGTTAGTGTCTGTGTAATGTTGCTATTTGAGCATAAAAAGATCTGCAAGGTTACAAAGCTCAAAGTCCATAGGGAGATATTTTATTTAACAGAATCCCCTTTTCAAGAACTAAAACTTATTTTATAAACACTGTTCCTGAACATTATAACCCAAACGTTTATCTGTGCGCTGCACATTTTATGGAGAACAGCTTGTGTAAGCCCTCGCTTTTGTAAGATAGTTCACTGCTCCTTAGGAGAATTAACCATGGTTTAGTGATCGATTACTGTGTGTATTACCTTAGTTTTCCGACAAATATCACGATTAAATGGTGGATAACATCGTATCTAAAATGTATAAGAAAATTACAAAAAACATACCACTCTGAAATGTCCTTTAAAATCTGTGCTTGCAAAGTCTGTGCATGAAATCCGTTCTGCATGATTCTCTAATGTTTGTTAACATTGTCAGGGTCTGAATCGGGCTCAAATTAGTTATAATTCGACGCTACCCTCAATACTTACACTAATTAGAAGAACTCGCAGTTATTGAGGGATGCATAGGACATTTTCCGAACATGCGCTAAGTGCTGCCAATCACAAAACACTGTGCCAGCTGACCAATCACAGCACATTTCGTATTTCGGAAGGAGGGGCTTCATCGAAAACTACATGTTCGAGACAGACTGGGGAGAGAGGTGCTGTAATAATGTAAAACATGTGAAAAATAATGTATTTTTTGAACAATCTAGCATGAAAACATATTCTAATACACCCCAAAAACAAAATCAAGACATCGTAAAAGGGCATAATAATTAGACCCATTTAAAGGATAGGCCTATGCTTGTGACAAAACCAGCATTTCTTAAAATTTTACATAAATGTACTGTAACTACTACATATAACCTAGTTATACTACATATAATCCGTCCTTCGGATGAGATGTTAAACTGAGGTCCTGACTCTCTGTGGTCATTAAAAAACCTAGGATGTCCTTCGGAAAAAGAGTAGGGGTGTAACCCCGGCATCCTGGCCAAATTTGTCCATTGGCCTCTGTCCATCATGGCCTTCTAATCATCCCCATATATACTGATTGGCTTCATCACTCTGCCTCCTCTCCACCAATAAGCTGGTGTGTGTTGGGCGTTCTGGCGCACTATGGCTGCCGTTGGATCATCGCCATGGTGCTGTACATTGGTGGTGGTTGAGGAGATTCGACCTTCCATGTGTAAAAAGCACTTTGACTACCTAGAAATATACTGCGCTATATACTGTAAATGTAACAAATTATTATTATTATTATATAAAACACAAATAAAATACTAGTATGCATATCAATCTTCCTATTAAATCTTATGTTATTATTGGTTTCAGTATTTCTAATCTTCATGCAATTTTGTCTGCTCATCCCTCATTTTTATCTTTTATATGAATAAAAAATATTCACATAAACAAACACAAAACAAAACTGAGTAAACATGCTTGATTTTGACTTGTTGATCAGTCTTTTAAATTTTAAAGATGTTAACATTTTTTATCTGATGTTATTACTATTTCTATTCAGTATGGCTGATGCTGAGAGAAAGAAAGGTTACAGGGTTCTTGAGGCATGTCTCAAAACATGTCTTCAATCTACATTGAAATGTATTGATGAAAACTGCTTGTGAAGAACACCAATTGGCTGCATAAACAAAATGTTAGTTTTAGTGTCAGGCGCATATACAATATATGTTCCTGTGTGGTTAAAGAGTCTTGTCATATTGATTGAAGAATGGAGGCATATTGACCAGCTAAATTGCAGCGATGCTCATTGAGGCAACTGTGAATATCAAATGACTACTGTTGTGGTTTTGGACAGGCTTATAGACTTAATGCATTCTGGAATGTTTTAAATGTTTATAATGCAGTTATGATTGGACATGAGTTATGTCAGGTGCCTTTATTAATGTAAAATATCTTTTTCTATGTAATCTTGATAACTTTTTCTGCTCTGTTCCACCCATTTTTTAAAAACATTTTTTATTTATCATTTTCTGCTCAATCTAACTTAACTCATATCAATCTAACTCTCTACTTCCTGTTTTACTAAATCAACTATTTCTCTTTAGTTCTCACCTTCACATTATGCTCTTTCCTCTTTATCCGTCTATTTTTGTCTTCTTCCCAACACCAATAAGCTTAATGAGATTCAAAGTGCTCTGTAACCCAGTTAATCAGATTCATCGTTTTGATTACACACTCAGTTTAGCATCTTAACATTTCTTAATCTCTTTGTTTTTCTGTAAAACAGTCAGACGTATTGCATACATTTCAGATTGACTCTGTTGCTGTCCGCATTAGAGTTCTCACAGATCAGTTAGAAATGCATTTCCTGTCATGTCTGACTATAGCATGAAATTGCCCTCTAAAAGATACCATGAGAGTTTATGCATCACAAGACATTAAGATCTTCAACTGATTAACAGATTGTGAACATGGTGTTTTGGAAGAGATGTTATTAATCTGTGAACAGATCAGGGAGGGGCAACTCCAGTCCTGGAGAGCCACTGTTCTGGAGAATTTAGCTCCATTAGTCAAATTCTAATGACAGTGTTCCTCCAGGACCGGAGTTGACAGTATATTCTGTAACTTACACTGTAGTGGTTTGCTCTTCTGCACTCTATGTGGCCAAAACACACACACAGACAGACACACACACACACACACACACACACACACACACACACACACACACACACACACACACACACACACACACACACACACACACACACACACACACACACACACACACACACAGACAGACAGACTGGGGAGAGAGGTGCTGTAATAATGTAAAACATGTGAAAAATAATGTATTTTTTGAACAATCTAGCATGAAAACATATTCTAATACACCCCAAAAACAAAATCAAGACATCGTAAAAGGGCATAATAATTAGACCCATTTAAAGGATAGGCCTATGCTTGTGACAAAACCAGCATTTCTTAAAATTTTACATAAATGTACTGTAACTACTACATATAACCTAGTTATACTACATATAATCCGTCCTTCGGATGAGATGTTAAACTGAGGTCCTGACTCTCTGTGGTCATTCAAAATCCCAGGATGTCCTTCGGAAAAAGAGTAGGGGTGTACTCTATGTGGCCAAAACACACACACACACACAGACACAGACACACACACACACACACACACACACACACACACACACACACACACACACACACACAAAAAACCCTACTGTAGTCTGTGGACAAAACAAAACAAAACCAAACAAAACCACTGCACTCTGTGGACAAAACAAAACAAAATAAAACCAAACAAATCCACTGCACTCTGTGGACAAAACAAAACCAAACAAACCCACTGCACTCTGTGGACAAAACCAAACAAATCCACTGCACTCTGTGGACAAAACCAAACAAATCCACTGCACTCTGTGGACAAAACACAACAAAACCAAACAAATCCACTGCACTCTGTGGACAAAACAAAACCAAACAAATCCACTGCACTCTGTCGACAAAGCTAAATAAAACCAAACAAATCCACTGCACTCTGTGGACAAAATAAAACAAAACAAATCCACTGCACTCTGTGGACACAACAGTGCAGTGAACAAAACAAAACAAAACAAAACAAATCCACTGGATTCTGTGGACAAAACAAAACAAAACAAATCCACTGCACTCTGTGGACAAAACAAAACAAATCCACTGCACTCAGTGGACAAAACAAAACCAAACAAATCCACTGCACTCTGTGAACAAAACAAAACAAATCCACTGCACTCGGTAAACAAAACAAATCCACTGCACTCAGTGGACAAAACAAAACAAATCCACTGCACTCTGTGGACAAAATAATACCAAACAAATCCGCACTCTGTGGACAAAACCAAACAAATCCACTGCACTCTGTGGACAAAACCAAACAAATCCACTGCACTCTGTGGGCAAAACAAAACCAAACAAATCCACTGCACTCTGTGGACAAAACAAAACCAAACAAATCCACTGCACTCTGTGGACAAAATAAAACAAAACAAATCCACTGCACTCTGTGGACACAACAGTGCAGTGAACAAAACAAAACAAAACAAAACAAAACAAATCCACTGGATTCTGTGGACAAAACAAAACAAAACAAATCCACTGCACTCTGTGGACAAAACAAAACCAAACAAATCCACTGCACTCTGTGGACAAAACAAAACAAATCCACTGCACTCTGTGGATAAAACAAAACAAATCCACTGTACTCGGTAAACAAAACAAATCCACTGCACTCAGTGGACAAAACAAAACAAATCCACTGCACTCTGTGGACAAAACAATACCAAACAAATCCACTGCACTCTGTGGACAATACAAAACAAAACAAATCCACTGCACTCTGTGGACAAAACAAAACAAATCCACTGCACTCTGTGGACAAAACAAAACCAAAATAATCACTTTACTCAGTCAACAGAACA